AAAAAAAAAAAGGAATGGGAGGAAAAGAGAAAATAGGCTCTAAAGGAGGGGATGGACTCAGAAACCAGCAATTGAGAAAACATTACGAGTGGGTGGGACCTGGTAAGACACATACATGAAAAAGTGAATTAACCATCTTAGGGTGTTATGGAGGCTTGACCTTAGGAAAGAGTCAAAGAAAAGACAGGAAATGAAATCTTATAAAGGGAGTTAGTGGGCCTAGAATATCAGCCTAAAAATTCTGCACTTTGTTTTGCAAGCGCTGGTGAATTATTTCATACATTCCTATTTATTTAACAGTCAATTAGTCAAGAACAATATATGTGATTCCTTAATGATCCTTGAAGTCAGTCAACCTTGAATCTTATTTTATGTTTCTATAGAGCAACAGTCATCGTAAAAAATATTTTACATATTAAAATTTAGATCTGAAGGCATTTAACATACTTATAATTTTCACTGTTCTTTAAAAGTGAATTAGGTTTATTTTTAATTGACATATAAAAACAGTTCATAAAGATGGGGTGCTGTGTAATATATGTACAGACTGACACACTTAGGTAAACATACCTATCTCCTCCAACATTCTTTCTTCTGGCTTTTAATATACAATAGTCAAATGCTGTCTACTGTACCTGATAGTTGTTCTTAATTTGTTTAGCTCCTCTTCTGAAACCAAGTCTGTTTTATTGATAAGAATCATGTCTGCCAAAGCAACTTGCCTAAAAAGGCAAAGAACAGAAGAAAAATGTTAAGAAATCACAAAAATGTTTAGAAACAACATTTCAATTAAGAACTAGCTTGGGTTCAGTTTATTCCCAATCTACTCATTCTACAGAAGAATTTCATATATCACTATGTAAGCTCATCCAAAAATTATTTGTTACTAATTCTATAAAGATAAGCCTCCAGAGTTTTTAAATCAGAGAATAATTTTCAATTCATGGTGTATGTGTGTGTGTTATTAAAGAAAAGTATAAAATCCAGATATCCCTTATGACAGAAATAAGGATAGCCTATTTGATAAAAATTGCAAAATATACCATGATTTTTAAAGAAATACAGAGAAAAAGTTCACTTAACATTAAAAAATTTGCTTTATATTACTATACTTTAAAAATATATCAAGATCTTATGTAAATATCTTCCCTATGAATATTATTGTTGTAAAAGAGATACACAGAAATCCTAGTTAAAGACTTTAACTGATAAAATGCTACATAACAGATTATTTTTCTCAATTCTTCAGGAAATTCTAATGACTAAACTACTAGTTTCTATTTCTGTTAAGATATAAATATAAGAACACAAGCAAAATTGAAAAAAATAACTCCAGACTGTATATCGTAATCCTACTTCTGTTTAAGTAAGTTGATGTGGTGGATAACAGAATGCACACATTTCCAAATATTAACAGCTACAGTCTTTAAGTTGGAGACCTTCCATTTAATCTTTCACGGAATTCACAACTTTCTGATATTTTCTATTTGACTTATGTATATTTTCTATAATAACCATTTTGTGAGGAAAAAGTTGTAATCCTATTTAAATTAATTTTAATTTAAATCACAATTATACAACAACACAATATTTAGGAAGGGCTACAAAAGAATTATCAAACTCCAAGATAACAAGGACTCATTTGCTTACAGTCTTTATGTCCTGTGCTGGGATCATCTGTAGCAAATCCCAGGAGGCCTCATTCTTAAGCCTAGCAGCACATTTGGTTTCAAAACCTACATCCCATTAGTGAAAATATGCTTAGGGTAGGAAAACTAATTTAAATACTTGTAAGTCTACAGTCAAAACAATTAAGAATACAGAAGTTATTAAAAATCATTTTAAGTGCCAAGTCAAAAGTCTTTCAGTATTTGTTCCTCTGTATTGAGTACCAAGTGAGGAGTGAGGCAGTGTCTAAGGGAGCAAATTAACCATCTTCAATTCCAGAGAAGTGGCATGAAAATAAAATGCTTCTAAATGTTAAGAATCTTCTAAGTTCATCAAAATCAACTACATCCTGTGCCCACCATTCATCTATCCCCACAATATAAATGGTTTAAATAAAATGCTAGTTATGAGTCCGTGATGGGCAGGTAGCAATAATGTGTGGGAGGAAAAGAAAGTAAGTTTGCCTTAACTATCTTCATATTGTTTTTCAGGTTTTTTGTTTGTTTGTTTGTTTTTAATGTTACTTTATCTTCTTCTAGCTGGTTAGCAATCAATATAAGCTTTAAATATGAATACCTAGTAGCTTCATTGACAAGGCCATCAGGTTTTTCTTCAGTTAAATGCTGAACAAAACAAAATTTTAAAACAATTACTATAATACAATACAAAAATCTAGTGTCAACATAAAGTATTTTACTTTAAAACTATTGTTTTTTGTCTTAATGAGACTTTAAGTTCCATTATGAAATACAAATGCAGAAAGATTTAGTTAGTTACTATAATTGACTTAGAAGGTCATTAGGTACTTTTCATCTCCAGAAGCAGCCCTTCTCTCAATACTATTTATATCCTGAAGTCATCTATGCCATAAGGTTACCAGGGGCTGTCTTCTGTAAATTAATGTTTTCAACCTATCACCTTACCTCTCAACAGAGACTCTCTATCACAACAAAAAGCTGGCTACTGAGGACTACAGACAACTCGATATTAACATTTTACATTCTAATAGAATTTTATAAATATTTAATTGTGGAGCTAGAGAGAGAGATGGCTTAGCTGTTAAAAGCTAGACTCACAACCAAAATAAATTATTTCACTTTTAAAACATTTTAACTCATTTAGGCATCATGACATGAGAAGTAGCTATTTTCATTTACATATATAAAAACACTTAAATCTAATGCCCTCATCATCACAGAATACTGTTTTACATACCACCACCAGATTATTTTTTATTAAAAGTACACCTGATAGAAGTAAAGTGAACACAATTTAAAATCTTTTTTAAAAGCTTTTATGCCATGTACAACCAGTCTTATTTAGAATGTTACTTAATACTTACATAAGAGCATATGTAGAATTATGTACAAATTATATCATATTTTCTCAGGCCGGTTTCACAATTCATGGGGAGGTGATTATTATAGCTTAGGATTTAAGACACACTGAGGATTATTTAATAGACTTGGTTAAGACTACAGAGGTGATCTGTTTTTCTTCTAAAGGTTTACCAAATACCATTTAGGTACAACAGAACCAATCAGAACAAGTCATGACACTGACATAGTCATTTCCTTTTTTAATCCAATTTTATAAATTCAACCACATACTCACTCCCTAGTTACAGAGTTCACAGACCATAGAGTGTATCAATAATTATTCCACGCTAAAGGACCAAGTGTAATATTAATATTTTCATAATTATTCATGGCTTCTTATTGTTAACAAATCCATTTAGCATGATATACTCTGCATCTAGAGAATAAAGCTATCATCAGTCCCTGGAACAGTCTATAAATGAACTGTAGTTAACACAACCATTTGTTGACATAATAGACACATAAATTCTGTTATTTGAAAAATGCTATACACATGTAGCAACACATCTCTTTCCACTAAGCAGTCAAAAATGATACATCTGCATCTGGATGATCCTATACAACATTCTTTAAAACTGAAATATTGTTTAAGATGCTCTACTGGAAGCTTCATTTGCATGCATATCAATAGATGTATCTGATTGTGACTTTGTAACATGTAAAAAAGATATTAAAATTAATGACTTTAAAATTTTGCTTAAATGGAATTTTAAAAACTTGGCAGTTTCACAAAGCAACTTACAATGTTTTGAGTCATTTATCTAAGATAAATTTTTACTCAGAGACTAACATTTGATTACCTTCTGACAGGTAAGAGATTAAAAACAAAAATACCCTAAAAACTCCCAAAAGAAAAGCCTGCCAATATGTACAACTTGATTACAAGTACATGTGATAATTACAGAAAGAAATAAATGCCCTGCCGATGCTCATATGAAAGCTTTCTAAATATGAAAAGTAGTAAATGTAGATTAACATTTCTTTTTCCGGGCATGAGCCCTACATTTCCCTTATGAAAGTTCTACTTCCCCAAGCCAAGCTTAACAAAAAAGGTCAAAACCTTGTTTGCTATGCAGAAAATATTTGGTCATAAGTCAGACCTCCATTTGTAAAATAACAAAAATGTAAATTCTGATATTCTATTCTACCTATACAGGTATACAATGAAAGTTTTATAAAAGTTAAAAAAAAAATCACCTATCTCCAAAGGATTCCTCATCTCTGCTAGAGATTGTAGCTTTTGTTTATATTTCAAAACAGGCAATAATAATTTTAGTACTAATGAACCCAACAAACCAACATATTCAAAGAGTAAAGGTTCAAACTCCCAATGTGCCCTACCACGACAAACAAAATAAGGAGGTGAGATGGTAGCCAATGTACACAAGTTCTAATTTCGCAGGAGGAGTAAGTTCTGGAAATTTATTCTGGAAAGCTAATTACAGCATGGCAACTATAATTAGGCCTATGGGATGGAATAACAGAAATTTCCCAAGTATCAAACACTGGTACCTATGTAAGTGGGTGGACAAGGTTAGTATCTGATTGCTTCACAATGTTTTAGAATATCTACACAGACAGATCAGGGTAGCAAATTGTATATCTTAAATCTATACAATGTTTATTTGTGGCTTATGGCTCAATAAAGATGGGGAACAAAAAGAAATCATTAAAAATAAATTACTACTATAGTCACAACTTCAAGAAGGGCTACAGGAGTTCTTTCCTGCAGAAATAAAGAAAAAAGCAGGAGCAAACAAAGAAAATAAATCAAAATGGTCTAAAAATTCATTAACCAAGAAAGAACTGTGTGCTGACCACAGTGGAAACAAATTCAATGTCAAAGATGTCAGACATCAGACAAAGAAAAAGGAGAGAAATAGCGGCATGGTTTTTTGTTGTTGTTTTTGTTTTTTCACAAAGGAGTGGTTAGACATCTAATGTGGTTTCAGCTTGGAAAAAATTATGGCATAATGTCAGTCTATTTATTTTTCTGGACTTTTCCAAGCCAAACTGATTTCTTACTGAATTGTTTCAATGGCTTGTGCAATACAACAGAAGACTCAGAAAGGAACCTCTTACTTGACCTTTTATGTGTAAACTTCATTCATTGATTCTATTGCATTAAATGCTGTCACATTTGTAGAACTGAAAAGAACAATGTCAGTGCCTAGATGTCAAGCCTTGAGAATAGAGAGCTGTCATTTTAAGTTGTCCAATTCTTTGCCCATGATTAAAAAATGAATATTTCAGATCAATGGGTGACAATCCCATTAGAGTGATAGCCTATGATATCAATTACCACTTCAGTTTCAATTTGGCTGGCTGGCCACAGGGTACCATTTCTCAGCTTTACTTGTGATGGGCTGGCTCTGTGAAGCATGACACCCTTAAATTGCTGCCCATTATCCAACTGTCATTACTTGTACTGCCTCAGAATTCTCTGAATCACAAGCAGCTACTGAGGTCAAGCTTTGCAACCAGAGGAATTGAACAAGTTGGCAAATTCTTTATATAAAGGCAAAGTTATTTATCTGACATCTGACTTGGAAAATCTAAAGTTTCCATTATTCTGACAGTATGTCAGTTTTGTGTAGGTATATTGATTTAATAATTTAAGAGGTTTTATCAAAGTGGCAAGGGGTTAAACATATACTGTGTTTGCATTATTCAAAACACTGCTTTGTTTTGGGGTCTCTATCATGCCAGTAAAAGATTCTATGTAATTCCTCTCTATATCCAACTATATATATAAAACTATTTCTGTAAGTATAAAACACTAGAGTTTGACTTTAGGTAAAGCATGTTAAGTCTATAAAAAAAAAAAATCAATGAAATGTCCTAGCTGCTATCTTATGTACCCCAAATTTGTTAATCAACTTATAGAGGAAATTAATTCAAACATACCTATAAAAATGTTCAAAATGAGCCAGGTGGCTGTGGCGCACACCTTCAATCCCAGCACTCAGGAGGCAGAGCCAGGTGGATTTCTGTAAGTTCGAGGCCAGCCTAGTCTACAGAGTGAGATCTAGGACAGGCACCAAAACTATACAGAGAAACCCTGTCTCAAAAAACAAACAAAAAAGTTCAAAATGAGGAAATTTAAGTTTTCTAGTGGGTTTTTGTTTTTTTTACTATCTCCATTTACATTTTCTTAAAATATGATTTGAAAATGGCCATTAACATTTTTTTTTTCAGTTGAAAAGTGCACACTCACACATACGTATATGTGTTCTTCTAAGTCAGTCTGTTTCTCTCTTTCTCTCCCTTCCTCTTCTTCCCTCCCTCTTACCCAGCTCTGAATGTCTGTAGTTAAATCTATGTTTAAAGACTTTTTTTTTTAACAAATTACAACTATTATTTTTAGAAGAAACCTATTAAGCAAGGTGTGTTGACCCTCAACTATAATCTCAGCACTCAGGAGATCTAGAAGAAGGATTATAAGTTTGAGGGCAGCCTGGGTTCCCTACCAAATTCAAGACTACATTGGCTAAACAGTAGGACCATCATACACACACATACACACACACAGAGCCATTAGAATTTTTCTGAGTAAAACTATAATATTTGCAAACTTCCTTTGAGTCCTATTCCATTCATAAGTTTAAACTGTAAACTCTAGAACAGGATTCCCATGTCTCAAATAGGGTCCTGAGAGTTGGGGGTGTAAAGGGCCAGTAAAGTAGACTGACAGCCATCTGGACAGACTTGATAAATGTTCCCACAACATCATTTCATTGAAGAGTTGGAAGAAGGACCAACATAAAAATTAAGTTTAGATACATCAAAAGGTAAAACACCCAACTAATGTTTAAGCACTGATTTTTAACTCCCAAGAAATTCTGTTTGTTTCCTGAGACAGGTTCTCACTATATATAGCACTGGATGGCCTGGAATTCACTATGTAGATCATGCTATCCTCCAACTCACTGACATCCACTTGTCTCTAGCTCCCAACTCCTGAGACAAAAGGTGTGCACCACCATACTCAGCCTCCATGAACTGACTGCTTGTTCCAACCCGTATGCCCGCCAGGTGGTGGGGTGGAGGACTGGCGCTAGGACAGAGGTAAGCTTATTCTCCAATGCCCTGTGCAACATTTCCATTTCTTGAAGAATTTTCTCAGTTCACTTGAAATCTGGGAAGTGCCATTTTATCTTATGCAGCAATAAGCTTTTAAGCATTTTCAGTGCATTTTATAAATTGAAGCTAAATAAATACACTCTTAAAGACCTCAGCAGTTGGCAAAAGCACAACTGAGTATCATTTAATAAAGAATCTCTTATTATGCACTAATATTTATTTTTTTCAACATTAAACAAATCAGTATTTTGTTTAAAAAAACTAATTTATAGTTCATGTTTGCTAAGAGTTCTTAACAAAAACTAAGATCTCATATATTTTATTAAGCTGATTTTTTTTTTCTGTAGTGGAAATGGATTCTAGTGACAAGTAACACATATCCAAACTTTACACTGACCCTACAACCTTATTATAAAACATTATAATAACTCCAATTTTTATCATAACACCAAACCAGACTAAAATAAATACTATGTTTAAAACCACATAATAATGCCGGGCAGTGGTAGCACACACCTTTAATCCCAGCACTCAGGAGGCAGAGGCAGGTGGATCTCTGTGAGTTCGAGGCCAGCCTGGTCTAGAGTGAGATCCAGGACAGGCTCCAAAACTACACAGAGAAACCCTGTCTCAAAACACAAAAACAAAACAAACAAACAAAAAAACTACATAATAATAATATAAATACACACAATCAAAGTGTATCTTTTACTTGGACTATTATTTTGAAAAAGGTTTTTCTTAAGAAAAATTTAACAGAAAGAGAAAACAATACAACCAACTCCTCCATTCCTACTCCTTGACAATGAGCAAGTTATATTTGCTCAACTTACTTTTAATCCATACTTTGAATCTACAACAGTTACGATACCTACAAAGAAATAAACATGTTAGTTACTCTTTAAAGTTATCAGTTTTATGCAACTATACTTGAGAAGGAAAATTAAAAAAAAACATCCTTTAGTTCACAAATACTATTCAATAAATTATTTTTTCTCTTATCAATATGGCAAACTAACTCAATCTCAGGAATACACAAAAATGTTTCAAATATATATTGAATGACTAGCTCTGTTTTTAAGAAACTAGAACATTTATAAAATTTAAAAATTAAGTCAACAATAAAACTTCTTTGGTATTTAAAAGTTTAAAGTCCGAACTAAGACACATTCCATAATATATAGTGAAATAAGACAAATTATACAAGACAGGCTCTTTTTATTTTCACAGTCAAAATGAGGCTTTTCTAAGTGTTTAAATTATTGTTTAAAGAATCTGAGACATCTTAGGACATTATATTCCTAACCTCTGCTAGTAGCTAAATTCTCAAAAGATCAATTAGTTCAGTAATTTCTGAATATATGTCAAATCACTTTGAAAAATGTAACAGTATAATGTGATATCTATGAAACAAGCTACATGATACACACACACACACACACACACACACACACACACACACACACACACATATATATCTGCCTAATGAAACCTAGATTCAATGATTCTTACCCTATAGTCTACATGACTAGTTTAAAGAAATATAAAGAGGAGAAATGAATATAGTTGCTACACTAAGAAGGTAGTATCAAGCTTATAAATTTATACAGACTGACATTGTGTATGTATGTGTACAACATTCTGAAATCTTATCTTCAAGGAAAAATGAAAGCAAGAATATGATCTTTCCATTGTCTTCTTGACTAACTACAAAGCTTTAGCATTATACTATGTGTGCCATGGCAATGGAGGACACAGGCAATCTACGGAGGAGCATTTTGAAAGAAAAGTCTCAGTAGAAATCCTGAACCAGAGTTGACAGCAATACCTAACCGTCCGGTTTTATCACTGTCTAGGACTTTAGAATACCTATGAACAAAAATTTGATTCATCAAAAATTAAACAAGTTTGAGAAGAACAATGTTGTAGGAATTAAAACTGCAATATAAACAAAATGAGCGCAACCATAAAATAAATCTTAATTAAAAACAAAAGAAATTATTTTAACTTACCATCAAGATAAATATCACTCCCTAACTCAGCATCAACCCAAAACATAGAAGCCACTGCACCTGAAAATACATAATATAATAATATTCTTCAAATTGCAAAACATGATTATCAGTCTTATTTTTCACCAGTGGAGTCAGTTGCTAAACTAAACCTATATGTCAATCTTTTTATGAGAATTACAGTGATAGGACTTTTCAAGATCTGACTGCATTCTATTCCTCTCCCTACTTCTAAAAACAATAAACTCTTAGCACTCATCACACATCATGCTTCTACTGATGCCAAGATAATTTACCAATATATACTGTGAAATAAAATTGGACATAATAGCTGAAAATACATGCCATTTTTTATTTCCTGAATATGATTATCATACAATTTACAAATAATAAATTCTTCCCAAGAAAAAGCAAATAAAACACATTAACTCCAAAAATCACTTGCCCCAAATAAATCAAATAACAAGAAAAATTACAAGTTTGCTGGTGGTATTCATTGTCATATATTTACTTAGTATTGGACATAAAATTTGCATCTGAAGAAAAATTATTTCTAAGAGAGAAATTAAAATGTTTTTGACAGGAACTGGTTTCACACAAAACCACACACTCTGATTAGTGTGGCACAATACAAGGAAAAGGAACTGACAGCAAGAGAAAGCATTTGAGTTTTCAAAGCATCCCCGTCCCAGTTAGTGATGGTGCTGTCTGAAAGAATGAGCACAGGGGCAAACAAGGATAACTGAACTCATTCCACTGTCTAAAGCTGTCTACCTCCTCTGACAAGATGTGGTCCTGCTAAGCATCACTCTGTGTCAACAGTGAAACACCTGTCAGCTGTTTACAGTGATTACTCATGCAAGATATAGCAAGGGCCACAAGATCTAATGGTTTCCTGATACCTATTGATTTTTTCCCAAAAACTTAATAGTTTTCCAATTTGACTGAAATAGGATTTGTGAGTAACAGGAGCAGAATCAATGTCTGTCCTCTTCAAGGAAATTACTTTACCATGACAATTATTTAGCTAAGAACTGGAGAGTGTCAGTCTCCTAAGCGAGAAACAACTGAATTGCCAATAAGAATTATTTCCACTTTCTTGGCTAAAAACATGGTTTTAATTAATAAAGGAAAAGAAAGTAAATTTAGCACATCATGACACCAAACAATAAGATACAAAAAAGTATTAATTTATTTACTTAGCCAAAGACATAGGTATGTTAGCATCATACTTTCATAACTTTAAAACCTTACTGCTTTTTATTCAAATAAATGGCTTGAAGCCTTACTTCTTAAGAGGATGAATTGTAAATGTGTATTACAGTTTTTACTCTAAATATCATTTACATCTGATACAATCCTTACAGGATGCACAAGAAAGAACTATTTGAACTATAGATGTAGGTGCTCAGGAACAGTAAAGATGAGGGAATGGAGTAAGTGATTCTTCTCCCCACGGAATATTAGGCAATGTCTGAAGATAATTTTGGTTGCTTCTAGGAATACGCTACTGGCAGGCAGAACTAGGGGTGCTGTTAAACATTTTATAATGCTCAAGATACACCCCTCACAGAAGATGACTGACTGGTCATCCAAAACATCATTTGTGTCAAGGCTGAGAAATTATGAACTACATTATAGAATCTCCCTTCTTCAAAACCTGATAAAACAAACAAAAAAAAAATGTTTAAAATATCAAAATGTCATCAGAACAACCAAATAATAAGAAAAGATCAGTTCCCTAACCATAAATTTAGAAGTGTAATAGTCAAAATTGGAAACAAAGTTCTCTGTGAGTGTGGTGGTTTGAATAGAACGGCCCCACAGGCTAATCTAGTCGAATGCTTGGTCATTAGGGAGCGGTGCTACTTGACAGGGATTAGGAGGTGTGGCCTTGGAGGAAGTGTGTCCCCGGGGATGGGCGTTGGGGTTTCAAATGCTCAAGCCAGGCCCAGTGTCTCGCTCTTTGTGTTGCCCTCAGATTCAGATGTGGAATTCTCAGCTGCCGTGTCTGCCTGTGTGCTGCCATGCTCCTGATAAAGAGGATGATGGACTAAACCTCTGAAACTGTGAGCAAGCCTCAGTTAAATGCTTTGCTTTATAGGAGTGGCTGTGGCCATAGTGTCTCTTCACAGCAAAAGAACCTGGCTAAGACAGTGTGTTACTGTGGTCTTTACTAACTCAATTTCCACCCACAAGAGAGGTTGCAGAAGAACAGTTTACAAAATCCTACTACTTATCAGAAACATCTCCCCCAAAGGCAAGACGTAGGACTAACTGGAAAGCAATGGGGGGGGGGGGTCAATGATAACCATAAATATTTCAAGAATAAAAATTTTAGTCACTTCTGTGTCAGGGGAATTTTCTTTGTGGGACCATGGGCAAAAGGAACAAGAGCTCTGAGGTCTAATGATGCCCCACAGCAAGGGCTGGCTATGCACTACCAGATGAATGGAACAAACCCAAGATAGCCACACTGGATATTCGAGGGCAGAAGCTAATAGCCATTTTACCTCATCTGTCTGTCTGGTCACTCATTTCCACTAGCTTCTCATTTCAGGTGTCCCAATAATACCCAGTTTTCAAACTGGGGCTCAAAAAAAAAAAATTAGGATAAGATAGTGAAGATATTAAAAGGAATTCCTCATCAACGCACACAGGTAAAGGAAAGTCATCTGACCTCCCATCTGGGGTACAAAAGTACATATGTGATTTCAGCAGAGGAAAACAAATACAGATAAATGCCAGGAAGGGAAAAAGAATGGAGTAACTTAATAGCACAACAAATGTCAAAGGATTCATTCTGCAAGGAAACGATTTAAGAAATCAAATAAAACTTTGAAGTAGCTATTTATAGAAAAAATATGAAAGCAATACAATACAAAAACAAGCTTGAAGGTCAAAAAAAGAGCAAAATAATATTCTGAGGCTTTGTATCACTAATGAAATATATTTGGAATCAATTTAAAATCACCATTGTTTAACCAAGAAATTAATTTACAATAGTAAAAAACAGATAAGAAACAAATATGAGGGCAATTATTGACATAAGGAAAGCATAAGATTATCAGAGTAAGGGGTTGGGGATTTAGCTCAGTGGTAGAGTGCTTGCCTAGCAAGTGCAAGGCCCTGGATTCGGTCCTCAGCTCCGGGAAAAAGACAAAAAAAAAAAAAAAAAAGATTATCAGAGTAAACATAGCTGCAAAAGATAAATCAGAACAATTAAAATAGGGCTAAGGGCACAGCTTAGTGGTGGAGAACCTACCTAGGATGTGCAAGGTACTCAAAAGCAGTAAAAAAGAAATCAGAAGCCCGAGAGATGGCTCAGCAGGCAAGGGTGCACATTGCCAAACCAGGACCCACATGGTGAAGAGAGACAACTGGCCACCATGGTGGAGAGTCAACTCCCGCAGACGTGTACCACAGCATATACATTCAGATTCACTCTCTTTAGTCACAGTCATTCACTTTCTCTCCCTCTGCCTCCATCACCCCCTCCAGCCCCCTTCCCTTGTAAACATAAATATATAAACAAATTAGTATGACTTAAAAAAGAAAATCAGACTAGTTAAAAGAACAAAATAAAATTCATTATGAAGAAAATTGGTCTCATTAATATAGAACCAAATAATTTGACAGAAAAAATATTTACAGTAATAAAAAAAATGAAAACATCTTTAAAGTATAGGGGAAAAATGGCTAAAAAGAAAAACAAATTCCCACATTTTTACCAGACCATAACTATTTGAGGCCTGACCCTAGTGACTTTTGATGTATTTTGTAAACATTAGGGATCTAGTTATTTTTTAAAAAAATTTTATGTGCACTAGTGTTTTGCATGCACATATATCTGCACCATATGCTATATACATATGGCACATACTCATACAAACACCCACACATACATCAACATAAAAATAAATCTTTATAAAAATAACTTATTCCTGTCAATAACTCTATCAATTAATACAACTTTAAATTCTATTTACAGCTTAAATGTCTCAAGAAGCACACAGATGACTCTTACAGGACACAAGCCAGAATTTCTCCTCCCCTGAACAATAACAAAAAGTAAACCCACAGTGAAGCTTTAGGGCTGGTGAAATGCTCAACAGGTAAAGCAAGAGCCAAGACTAGACCCGAATTGTCCACGGAAAAGCTGGTGGGCACGGTCAGTCACCTGTAACTCTTCATGGGGAAGTAAACAAAGAGAAGGTGGAGATAGGGAACTCCTGAAGCAAGCTGGATAGCCAGACCAGCAAAAGTGACAAGCTCAGCTCTTAATTCATTGAGAGACTACGCATCGTCAATACCCAAGGTAAAAATCCCACACACATTTGAATATGCATACATGTGGTGATATTTTATTTGTTCATTAATAAATAAAGCTTGCCTGGAGATCAGAGGAAATAGCAAGACATTTTAGCTAAACACAAAAGTCAGGCAGTGGTAGCACACGCCCTTAATCCCTTAGCAGGCAGGATCTCTGTGTGTTCAAGGCCACACTAGGGAACACAAGTCACACCAGGGAACAGAGTCAAGCGTGGTGACATACACCTTTAATCCCAGTACCAACCATAGAGACCTGGAGGTCTGTACAGACAGACAGAAAGTGATAGAGCTGTGTAGGAAGAGGAAGTGAGGCAGCTGGGCTAAGAGCCAGTGAGAGGGCAGAACAGCAAGGCAATAAAGCCTGGGTAGACAGGAAATTGTGCATTTGGAAGCTGCAGAATTGGTGAGGTAAGGTTGGCTGGTGGCTTTCCCTATTTCCCTGATCTAAGGCTTTCATCCCTATATTTGGCTCTGTGTTTTTTATTTAATAAGACATCTTAGAAATCTGGCTACACACACATATATGGATGTACATCACACAAACATATGCAAAAATAAGGCTTTAATCTCATTTAACTATTTCTCTAAGGTATCAAAGAACTAAATGCTGGTTACTAATAATGTCATTTCTTACCAGGATCTGCTAGTCCAGTGGTCTCCAAGAGTATGTAATCAAATTTCCCCTTCTTCTGCATCAGATTCTCTATAGCTCTAAGGCCACTGTCCCTGAGAATACCAAAAACATAGTAATAACTGACTACCTAAACATTTTAAAATAGTCACAACACAACACAAAAATATTTTCAGGTACACACACACACACA